CGCGCGAAAAATTTTTTTGTGCTTTTAATTCTAATTTCGTCGGAATTGATCAAAACTCCCTAATTGTGCAATTTTTAGAGGAAATTGGCCTACCTCAACAAGAAATGCTCTTATGTTATATATCGCCACACTCGTTTTTTTAAAAACTGAATATAAGTATTTTCCTTATGGCTTTATTTATTACAAACATATTCTTTCAACATCATTACACATTGAGGCCCTTTTTTAATAGGTTAAACGATCTATCTTAAATTTTCTTTCTTGAGTTTGGGACTATGTGTTATAACTTAGAAGGCAAAGGTGAGCAAGCACAAGCTTTAACATAAAAAATGCGAGCGAAGCGCGCGAAAAATGTTTGTTTTTTAAATTCTAATTTCGTTGGAATTGATCAAAACTCCCTAAAATGTGCAATTTTTAGAAGAAATTGGCCTACTTCAACAAAATATGCGATTTAAAATTTGAGATTTTCAGGCACTTTCCCGGGTGAAAAGGGCATTCAATGGGGAAAGACTTTCCACAGCTGGATATTTTCCCCTTGTTCCCCGGTTATTACGCCACTGCGGAGAATACCTGGCGGCTTAGATCAAATGCGCTATGGACACTTTTTGAATTGGAGAATGGGTTGCAGGCAGGGGTATTGTGATATCTGTTCATTATATCTTCCTTTTTATTCTTGTCTTTATTTTTCTCTTCTCCTTTCCTTTCTCTTTCTTTCCCCTTCTTTCTCTTTCCCTCCCTCTCCCCTCTTTCTTTTCTCTTCTTACCCAGCCAGCCCGGTACGACGGCTTGGTCAGCCCGGTAAAAACCGTCAGTGGGGGGGGGGGGAAACAGTCTGCTCCTGCCCCGCCTGTTACTACGCCACTGTTTTTAAGATGAATGGGAATATGAATCATGCAGATCTGGAATCAAATCTAGGTGGTGGGGTCAACATTCCTCCCCAGGGAAAATTTCGATTTCTAGATGGCGGGAAATGAGCTTTCCCCGACTTTTGTGGTGTCTTTTAATTACTTTTAAATTCTTCAAAATTCAAGATTCCCCCCCCCCACCCCTTGAAAATGATTCAATTAATCAATGAAATCCAAAGATAAAGGGTCCGGGTTCCACGGAAAAATTTCGATTTCTAGATGTAAGGAGATGAGCTTACCTGACTTCTGAATCGTCTTTTAATGACTTTTAAAGTTCTTCAAAATTCAAGTTTTCCCCTCTTTAAAAAGGACAGGTAAATTTTTCTCATTTTTTATTTTATGTGTGTATACATACATAAACAAATGAGTAGTTGCATGCGTAATTTTTTTTCCATGAATCGATAAATCCCAAAAAGAAAGGGTGGTCCGGGGGTTCTCCCCCGGGAAAATTTTAATTCCTAGATGGCGGGAGTTGAGCTTTCCCGACATTTGAAGTGTGTTTTAATGAATTTTATGTTCTTCAAAATTCTAATTTTCTAATAGCAAAAAAAAAAACAAAAAAAAAATCAGCTCACGGGTCCTAAAAAGGTAGGTCTAGAATCCTTTTCTTTTTTCCCCTTTTTTTTGTTGCACAAGGGAGGGGTCAGGACCCATGATCCCCTCCTCCCAGATCCGCCAATGTGAATTGCGAGAAAATGTAAGTCGGTCGGATAAACATTCTCTTTCCCATCCTTCTCCTTCTTCCCTCCTTCTTTTTTTGCATTTCCGATCATACAAAGTTCTCCAGACATTATATATTTTTCGCCAAAAAGTGGGGGGGGGGCCGGCCCCCCCCCCGGCCCCCAGCCCCGGTTCCGCCGCCCATGTAATGTGTAATTTTGCCCAACATGTCGTGAAAATGTACTGAATACTCAGTGCGTGCAAAAAATATTCGCAAGTTGTTCTCCGGTGGGACTCAAACCCACGTTCTCCAGATCACTAGCCTGGCATCATACCTCTAGACCACCGAGCTTGCACCTGATGGCCAGGGTTGAATTCGAGCCCAAGTAAGCAGCGGGTACTATTTTTGCAAGTGTTTTCAGTACATTTTCACGACGGGTTTGGGTTTCCACCCATACATGTTCTATTATTCTCAATAAGCCTATTAGAATATATCATAGATTCATGAAATGCCTAATAGGCCCTAAACGATAACATATATATGACTTGACCATAGTTTGTTCTCAATATTCTTGAATTTTTTAAACAAAATATTTTTTAGATATTTCTGAGCGTTAATGCCGTATCTGTTTTAAACAATCTCAGAATGTATGAGCATTAAGAGTTTTGCCTGAGTAGACCCCACTAAGGCTCTATCTCTAGGTCCAATCAGGTGCATTTTTACCAATTTTACCTAGTGCCCGGCAGTTAGCTATGCCATAGTTACCAACCGTCACGCATCGTGCGGGATGGTTCCGCGTTTTTAAAGTGATTTTGGATGAAACCATTTCTATTGACTATGATGAAACACGCATTTTGCAGAACATGCGAGATCATAAATGTGTCACGCATGTAGTTGCGTGATAACGAATTATCGGAATTCCTAATTTTTCGTGGTCCTGATACTGCATCTAGCTGGATAAATGGAGCCAAATGCAAGGGTAATCTTCCAAATATATCAGTTTTTAAATCTTCACCACTAAAATCGTATTTTCCCGTATTTAAAATTGCGTTCAATCATACAACATTTAGTTGCTTCATTACAGTAGAGTAAGTTCGCGTATTACGGACGATTCGCACATAAGACAAACATGATTATAAAAACCTAAAATTTGAATGCCGTGCGTGTATTCGATCGTAATTCTATTTTAAACCTCGTCCTGTACGCGAGTATATGCGGTATTTGTTTTAAAACCCTAGGTCACCTAAGCGTTAGAGGATTCCCCCATACGGTGGCGGATTGAAGGGGAACCCCGGCCCGGGCCCGGTAAATATTTCAAAATCACTTTATAAGAATGGAGGAAAAAAAACTGAAAATTATCCTGAGAGTGCCATTTCCGTCCATCTAGAGGCGATGAAATCTTAATTTACCTTACCTCAGCCCCAACCATAGCGGGGTTGGGGGGGGGGGGGGGCTGAGGTGTCTATGTCCCTCTCTGGTCAGCCTGTATTTCCAATTTCTGGATCCACCACTGCAAGGGCCACCCCATCTGTGCGCGAAGGTCATGGAAAATCCTGGATCCGCGCCTGCTAACCTACCTAGGCATGGGTTGGCAGATCAGACAAACTACTGAGGTTTAACCCAACTAGCCTTCAATTAAATAAAATTATACACAAGTTTTGGTTCGACGTTAATTTATGTACGAAAGTGCGTTCTTCAGGTCTATCGGTTCATCGATCCATGGAAGAAAGACTATACGTATCAAACTACTCAATATTGTTGGAATATATATAGGCCTATTGTTGTATAATAATATATTGCCTATGTCTTTGATTTTTTTTCTCTCTATGTATTGGTCTAAAGATAAAATTACCTGACCCTTTTCAAGAGGGAAAATCTTGAATGTTGAATAAATTAAAGGTCATTAAAAGACTCCTCAGAAGTCGGGAAAGCTCATTTTCGGCCATCTAGGAATCAAAATAATCCATGGGGAGTACCCCCGGACCCCCTTTCATTTTGGATGTTTTGGA